TGTCTCGACGGAAACCATGACTGTTGGATTGTGCGAAGAACTTAGATCGCCATCTTTCAGCTAAAATGAATCAGGGCTTAGCCTTCACTCTTCATATAACGGGCATTCTCAGTGTCAGTAAACAGTGTTTGCGAACAATCACCAAAAAACATTAAATCAATTTATGATCTTAATGAGGCATCCCATGATTTAATTGGCTACTCTGTGCGTGCCCTACATTCATGTAGATGGGTTGAGGAGGGATGAAGAGTTTTTATTGACTCTTCTTTCACTTTAGTTTATTAGCCTGACGAGGCTGATGCAGTCTATACAGGAGCACCTAAAAGATGGTTTGTAATCTTGCAATCAAGAAATTTCGGATCTAGCTTAATTGAGAATTCTATCATTTTGCGGAAGCATGATTACTAAGTAAATTGTATTTCGATAAAAGATTTTACCTAAACATTTACCTTTTTACATTTACATGGTACCTTCTACCTTCTGAATGAGCCAAATATTTGTTCTTGTATAGGCTTCATCAGCGACTCATACATGTTCAACATTTGAGACTCCAAATTCAAAATTCTCACCCGTGATCTTGTTTGTGCATTATCACATTTTCTTTAGTTTCCTTAATTTCATCATTGCTTATTTTACTTTGCATTCAGTGGCCCGACTTACTCCTTACCCATGATTTATCCGCGGTTAAGTCTCTCGTAAGCCGGCATGCTGCGCATCACGACCCAGATACTTGGTTTCACCGACTTGAAAGGCCGCCCACCCCTGCCAGTGATGTCGCAGCACTTCGCTTCTGCACCGTTTTAATATCTTGGTCTCACACTTTCCAAAATGTCAGAACTCGTCTGCCTACGCAAGCGGTTTGTTTGCCTTCCTCCAGCTCCTTGAGTAAATTGGACTCGAATTCTATGGAAAATTTGGATAGACTTTTTAGACCTGTTTTTGTCAATCCAACTTTCAGCGTTTTTCGGGTTCTTTATTTGGAGTCAGTGGATTCCGATCAGAAAAAGCCATAAATCAATGTGCCTTCTTTTGTATTCCCTTCTATATATGTTTTCTCTTAATTATCCACCTATCACTCCCCTTGCGCTTCTTAATATTTAAAAAATGTGTCTTATTGACTTAGACTAATAATTCACATTTTAAATTATATCAATTTCCGTCCCTCTTTTTTCGAGCTGGATTTAAGTGAAGCCTTTTTTATAGTCAAAAACAATCTGGTTGAGAATTTCTGTTATTTTATTCTTATGTTGGGATTCTGCTACCATTTCGCCCTCCTCGATTGATATTATAATGCCTTTTGTAATCACTTTTCGTTTTATAATTAGTTTCGTGAGGGCTTTGTCTTGCCTACCTATTATTATGTTTATATATTCTCCATACGCCCCTTTAGGACTCAACATTATATTCATACCACGTTTTCTCACTCAAGTTCAGACCTATTATTCTTTATTTTCAGCACCGAAAACAGAGCTCATTTCCTTTTTATCTATCTTCAAAAAGCAGGCCAGTTCGCATTTTGAATGATAGACACAACACAACTTTCAGTCTGTTGTGCCTATGCATTTTCCATTGCTTGTTCAT